GACTCGAAATTCTAGCAGGCGACAAGGATTATCGATTTCTTCATATTTTCTACCAAGTTAAACGTCGATATAACCATTCGGACATACCTAGTGGTGAGTAGTTGCAGCTATCAATCACAAATTCCTATGTAAGATGTCATATTGACCGTGTAAGTCCGCAACCAAGTACCTCGTTTCGGTGTTTGAAAATCTCCGCTCTTACTTTATCTTTTTAAAAGAGAACAAATCCCGAAATCTGGACAGATCGCGATGTATCTAAACAAATCTCAATTTTTTTTTTTTTTTTTTTTTTTTTTTTTTTTATTTGCACAATAATCAAAGTTTGTACAGAATACACTTATAGACATGTTAAAATGTCTTTTAAAGCTTAGCTTAACTGTAAGAATAACTTACTATAATAATTTTACATTTTATCTTAAATAACATACTGCCTCTTTACAGTGAGGAGATGAGAAAAGTACACTATTATTTCTGTAAATAAAAATGTCTTTTTGTCTTATCGATTATCGTCTTCTATTCTATTTTATTTTATTGAGACTACGGTCGACCGTCACCGGCCAAATACCCAGGAACCCCTGATCCATCCGAAGGTATGGGGGGGCACGCTTGTTTTAAGGAAAAAATTTTGAAAAGCCCTGGATTCCAAGCTCATAAGGCTTACGTCTTTTCAGTCTGCGACTGCATCGATCCCATTCCAGGAGCGCGAGCGCTTCCTGGTTGGGGTGACGGTGCAATCTCATCTCGTACGCAGAGTACATCTTGGTGATGTAATCCTCCACAGATTCAATGTTGAGGTCAGCGCGAATATCTGCATTCCTCTCATACCACTTTGCTTTAACTATACTTCTTAAGATCTTCATTTGCATGACTTCTATTTTATCTAGATTTGACTTGGCTGCGCAACCCCACAATTGGCAACCATAACTCCAAACTGGCCTCAACATTGACTTGTAGAGGAGCAACTTTAGATGTAGGGAAAGTCGAGATTTGCGCCCCAAGAGCCACTGCATGTTCGAGAATTTTAGTCGCAGCTGAGCGACTTTTTTCTTAATATGAGCGCCCCATCTGAGCCTGGAATCCAGGTGGAGGCCGAGATATTTTGCGATGTTATCGTTAGGAATCTGAGTTTCTCCTAACAAAAGGGGAATGTGAGTAAATGGTCTATTAGTAAAAACGACTTCAACCGATTTAGACGCATTTAATTTTGTCTTATCTTTTTTAGTCCATTTATTAATTTTGTTTAAGTGAGTTTGAGCAGTAAAACGTGCCTCCCTGTAACTTCGAGACGAAGCTAGCACGAGAGTATCGTCGGCATAAACTCCCAATTTCCCCCCTCTCCCAGACTGTGGGATGTCTGTGGTGAAAAGGGAATAGAGTAGAGGGGAAAGACAGGAACCCTGTGGAACCCCTGCCCTTATAGGTCTGAAACTTGATGTAGAATTTTCGTATCTTACTCGAAATTGTCTTCCTGAAAGAAAAGAAGACAGGAGATCCACATGGTTACATGGGAGCATTTTATATAGTTTCTCAACAAGACGCTCGTGCCAGACCCGATCAAATGCCTCAGCCACGTCCAGAAAAACCGCCACACAGTATTCTCCCCTTTCAAGAGAATCCTCAATAAATTTGGTGACACGATGTAGTTGGTCCACAGTTGAATGTTTAGCTCTGAAGCCAAACTGAGCATCAATTATGAGGTTTTGTTTGTTAACTATTTCATTCAATCTTTTTATGTAAAGTTTTTCAAAAAGTTTGCTTATTACGGGCAACAGTGAAATTGGTCGGTAAGACGCAGCTTCATTAGGGGGTTTATCTGGTTTTAAGAGAACAAAAATTTCTGCCGTTTTCCATTGAGATGGGAAGTATTTGCATCTGATAACTGCGTTAAAAATTCCGACCAGTTTCATGATTGCCTTTTTCGGGAGGTTTTTCAAAATTATACCAGATATTTTATCGAAGCCAAGGGCTTTTTTGGCTTTTATCTTCCCTTTAATTTCCTTAATGATCTCTGAAGGGGAGATACGAGGGGCGTTCAATAAGTAAGTATCCCCCCCTCTCTAAAATCCATAAGAATGCACCAATTTTAAAAAACTTGGGCTCAAAATCTTCCTTAGGATATTTTGAGTTCAACAAAACAAACCGCAACAAAATCGGACTATGTGCGGCCGAACGCGAGCCGTTTGAACGCGCCGAGGTGCTCGACGCTCCCGCCGAATCTGCGAGGATTTGAAGTCCGCTACAGGAGAAGAGCTTCTCTGCCAAAGCCTCAGTCGTTCATCACTGACGAAAAATCAAAGAAATTTTTGTAGAATAAGGGGCTCACCTCACTTCTCCACCTAACCAGCTCGATCCAAGCAAGTCTGATACTGAGACTAAGACTAAGAGAACAGCTTTTGGATGCCTCCTGCGTGGAAGTCTTTCAGCTGACCGCGGATGAAAGAGTGGACGGCTTGTTTGACCTCTTCCACAGATTCAAAATTAACTCCTCCAAGTTCAGATTTCAGGAACTCAATAAATGGTGGTCTGGTTTGCCATTTATTATCGTATCTGAAATCTGAACTCGGAGGAGTTAATTTTGAATCTGTGGAAGAGGTCAAACAAGCCGTCCACTCTTTCATCCGCGGTCAGCTGAAAGACTTCCACGCACGAGGCATCCAAAAGCTGTTCTCTTAGTCTTAGTCTCAGTATCAGACTTGCTTGGATCGAGCTGGTTAGGTGGAGAAGTGAGGTGAGCCCCTTATTCTACAAAAATTTCTTTGATTTTTCGTCAGTGATGAACGACTGAGGCTTTGGCAGAGAAGCTCTTCTCCTGTAGCGGACTTCAAATCCTCGCAGATTCGGCGGGAGCGTCGAGCACCTCGGCGCGTTCAAACGGCTCGCGTTCGGCCGCACATAGTCCGATTTTGTTGCGGTTTGTTTTGTTGAACTCAAAATATCCTAAGGAAGATTTTGAGCCCAAGTTTTTTAAAATTGGTGCATTCTTATGGATTTTAGAGAGGGGGGGATACTTACTTATTGAACGCCCCTCGTAGATTTTATCTTGACTGGTGGTATTTTTCTAAACTTTTTCCGGGGTTTTGATGTTGACACCTCCCCCTGCACCTGTGAATCCGAGTCTGAGCTGCTAGTTGGAACATCATCTGAATCAGAAGAATCTGGTTCTATCTCAGAGTGAGGTTGAAAGGCTGCCTCGAAATGGTCAGCTAATATTTCAGCTTTTTCTGAATCTGAATTTGCCCATGAGTTATCTGATTTTTTAATTGGAAATTTCAGGAGTTTAGGCTTTTTAAGGTACTTTGTTGCAGCCCAGAGTGAGTAGTCTTTATCTGCTTTTGCTGAAAGAAAATTTATAAAATTTTCAAATTTGTAGTTGAGAAATTCTTGGGTGCGTCTTTTAACTATCTTATTAAGTCGATTATATTCAGCTTTGTCTACTGGGAGCTTAGAGTTCACTGCAGTACGTTGCGCTTTCCGTTTCGATCTAATTACTTTTAGCAATTCTTTGGGAATGGTATAAGGTTTGGAGTTGTTTATTGCTATAGGAGTGTTTGCTTTTGCACAGATTTTTATTTGTTCAACCAACAGCTCAGCCTCCCTATCAATATCTTCTGGAGAAGTGATTGGAACGCCATTGTTGATCATTTGATCTAAATCTTGTCGGAATTTGTCCCAGTTTGTTTTTTTAGAACATATCATGGGAGGGCGGTCTGCCAGGATAGGGTTTGTAAAAATAGATAAAGAAATTTTAGCATGTCCAGCTAAGGGAGGGGGTAAAGTATCACATGTTGTTTTATCAATTAATTCTAAATTATTATATACAAAAAAGTCTATGAGATCAGGTAAATGTTTCGGATCGTATGGGAAGTTAGTTGGTTTCCCTGGGGTAATGAAATTACCATTTGCCAGGTTAACCGCTTCTAGTATAGACGATCCCTTGGGGTTTGAAATTCTAGAGCCCCAACGCGGATCCTTGGCGTTCCAATCTCCACCGATCAGATAGGAGATACCCAGTTCACCTAAAAAGTCAGTGTACTCTTCAGTAGAAATAGTGTTTTTGGGCGGCGTATAAAGCGACGCCACATTAAAATCGCCGAGGCTTGTCTCGATTCTAATCACAGCACTCTGAAAGGCTGCTGTTTCAATAATTTTTATTAAATTATGTTTTACCTTTTCTTTTATTAGAACCGAGGACCCACCTCTACGTTTATTTGCAGGGTGCATCGCATTATACATCCTGTACCCCACAAAATACCTTTTGAAATCGTTTTTGGTGAACCAGGTCTCCGACAGGAGGGCTATGTCCACATCAAAATCCCTTAGCGTGACATTGAATTCCTCGGCCTTCGTCCGCGTCAAGCCGCCGCAGTTCCATGCCATAAAATTTAATGATGATGAGGCGTTTGTAGATTGTGTGCGTGAATGTAGTCGCACTATATCATCGTAATCAATGACTTCATCATTCTGCTCAGAAAAAAGAGAGTCATCATTATTTTGGATAAAAGACAAAGAGACATTTTCATTAGAATTATACATAAGAAAGATACAGAAATATGATTCATTTTATTTATTGGAACGAGCTTCCAAACGACCGATTTTCTCATTCAGAAGTTGAATTTGCACACTAAGTGCCTCGATTGTTTTTAAAAGTGTGCTGATGATATCAGCTTGATTTTGTGGAGCGGACTCATTATTTTTATTGCCAGACACCGCTTGAGCAAACGACTTATCAAGAGGTTTTGACTTTGAAGTCTTAAGTGTTTTATTATTTCCTAGTTGAGGGAAATTTTTCCCGTTTTTTCGGGATTATTTTTTGATTTTAACTGTTGTTTTCTGGCAACTTGAAACTCCTTTGCGAAGGGACATCCTCGGTAGCTGGCTGGATGCCCAATAGCACCGCAGTTGATACATTTCGGATTAGAAATTC